TTTGGGTTTATTACCGAATAACTTGTTTCTTCCACCTTCCACCTTGATCTTCCTTGTAAAGTGGATTGTGAAAAAGAGATGGAAGAAAGGAATGGAGGGGAGAAGGGGCACTTTAAAATAAAGGCTGGGAGATTCTCAGAGCTTAGAAAGACGTCGAAGCCGTTAGTTTCTGGGCATAGGAGGGCCTGGAGCATGATCCGCAGGAGCTTCCCAGAGACTGTGCCAGGTGGCTGTCATGGTGTGTGGGTAGGTGTGACCCAAGTCCCAAATCTGAGGCCTTAGGTTTGAACAGGGAACAGCAGAGCCACCAGACTTGGCGTTACCATGGAGACTCAGAGTCCAACCGAGAGGATTTAAAGAAAACTTAAGATATTTTTTTAGATGAAAGTTATGGACAAAGTTTCATGCATGTTACATTAGTATTTGCACAACACTTTACACTTCATATAGTTTCAATGATGGATTGGATGCTGTTTTCTATTACCATATGAGGTTGGCGGGTGAGAAATTATCTCTACTTTACACATAGGAACCTTGCACATATTGAGGTCCTTCATGTTCTTTTGAATGTAGCAACAATACATCATGAATTTTACAAAGAAAGATTTTTGGAATATAAATGATTCTTATTGGCCAGGAACATGTCTCCCATTGCTTGGCCACAGCACCCAAATTCTATACTTTTAGAATTATATCACTAAAAATCTGTTCAGTTTAAAGGATTAAATTATTACAGTTCTTATCAAGAGGACTATAAAACTACTAACCTATTGTCAAGGGTTCAGTGAAATAATTAACTCATTGGCCAACCTATGCCTTTTTCTCTAGAAGTAGAACTAGCCGAAGTAAATCAAAACAAGAATGAGATCTTCCTAAAATATCTCTGTATCTCTAGTAATGGCAGGAGATAGGAGTTCCATTTTTAAAAAATAGGAAATAATGATGTGGGAATGATCTTAAGTAGATATTTTTAATGAAGGATTAGTAATGCAGTATGGTATGTCAGAAAAACAACTCCAATTCAGAACACAAAAATTATACCTACTGTTAAGAGAGGTGTGCCGTGTACTACACACTATAAGTGCTTCATAATATTATCTAACTTGATTCTATGATGAGCTACTCTGTGAAGTAGCTATTATTATCAGCCCCATTTTATAGTTAATAACACTGAGGCTTGGAGAGGTTAATTTGCTCAAGGTCACACAACCAGAAAGAGCTGGAAGAGCTGGAATTCAATCCAGATTGCCTGATACCAATGCTCATGGTTGTATCATAACCATGATAAATCATGGCTCTGTCATAAATTAGTTTTATTTTATTTTATTTCTTACTCTCTCAGTTTCTTCACTTATGCTTAGGAAGTAATGCCATGTCTGTCTCACAGGGCAGCCGTGAGGATGATTCAGGTCGGGGAGTTGAGAAAATGTATGCAGGTATATATCTAAAAATGAAAGTACTTTGTAAACAGGAATGTGTCCACAGATGTAATTTATTGTTATCAAACTGTATTGCCAGCTAGTATGTCACCTTGGGCAAATCCCTTAGCTATGCTGGCATCAGGTTCCTCACTTAAAAATTGAGGATATTGAACTTGATGATCCCGAGGTGTTTTCTGGCTCAAAGGACTTCAAGTTCATTAAAAGAGAAGTTACAGTCATGAGGTCATGATTGGACTGTGGGGAAGTGGGGAATAGATCCAGAAGGGACACAGCAGAGCAGGGCATGAAATTAGTAGGGACAAAAACTCCATGACAACTATGACTCCTGAGAACAAGTCTCTGGAGAGTTTTTTCCCTTTAATTGTCTTTACTCCTATCGCATTGGCCCTTAATAACACGTTTATGCCAGTTGCGGGCACCTCTTTTGCCATGAGTGGACAGCCAGTTTTGTGACCCCAATTTCCCATCTTGGAGTGCAATAGGGCACACCTGGAAAGTTCTTTTGAAAAGAAATAAGCAATTTCAAACTTTGGCAAGAACTCTGTCTTCCTGGAGCATCTGGGTCAAGGTGAGAGGGCAAAATTTAGAGAGAACAGGGGATTCTGTGCTATGTCAATATACATGTAAATCTTCTGGTGGGACCTTGGCGGATGGAGCAAGGTCATGGTCCCCAGTCTCTCGCAATCTTCAGCTCTTCCCTCTCCCTCACTTCTGCACCCCCCATTTAGGGCTTTTTCTTAGGTTTTCTTTCTCGTCACCTAAGTTCTCTGATGTTCTGTGAAAAGATTAATCTCTAACCTAAAATTTCAGGCATTACCTTAGGGTAATGGGAGGATGCTGAGTTCTAGTTCGCAATTTCTTCATGATGCGATCTGAAACTCTGTTACCTTCTGATTTTCACCTGTACAACGGGGATAACAGGATCATCTAAAATCTCATAGAACAAGGTCTATAAAGTCTAATACATTATAGAAGTTATTAAGTGAAGGCTGAATCAAAAATAATATTTTATTGAATTTTAGGGATAGTTCCTAAAATCAAAACATGCTCGTCTATGTTTCCCAACTTTGTCCATCCGAAGGACCCTTTTCACTTAATTTTTTCCTTGAGAATTCTATTTTTAAAATAATTAATTTGGTTTCCATTTCAATATATAGCTTGGATTCATAATTTCTGAGTAGCAAAACATAAGCTGGTCACTCTATAATGATATGACAAAGTACTCATGTACAATTTCACTGGCCTTTTGAAATTCTTCAAATAGCTATCCATTGTCACCTGTGAGTCTGGAGACACTAGTGTGGGTGACAGATATCAGAGATGCCCCACTCCAGGCACAGGTAGTGTTGGTATCACTGACCCTCCTAGCCTACTTTTACCTACATTGTTCTTTATTTAGCAACATTCCTGGTTTCTTAACATGATTTTTATATCTTGCACAGCCTTGCAAACTGTCCATGCCCTTAGTAGATCAGAACTGGAAAGGGTTTTGATTAGCTAGATCCACATATCCAACAAATATTTATATCAGTCACCTTTCCTTCTCCAAACTGTCTTGGGAGATGGTAAACACATGCTAAAAATTAATCAAAGAGACTGAGTATATTCAGAATATTTTTCCTTCCTCTAGCTTACCAAATTTTAAGAAGATAAATTTTATTGTGAAAAAGTAAAACAATCCCCACTTTTGATTGTTTCTCTTTGCTGAACTTCTCATTTTGTTCATGCATTGTTTTCTTAATTTCATTTAGTCGCCTACTTGTTCTTGTAGTTCACTAAATTTCCTTAAGAGATTTCTTCTCAATTCTTTGTCAGTTTGTAGATCTCCATTTCTTTAGGGCCACTTATTAGAACTTTATTAATTCCCTTAGATAGTGTTACAGTTACCTGAGTTTTTACAATCCTTGATTCCTTACATTGGTGTCTGCACATTTGAGTAAATGGTCTCTACTTCCAGACTTTACAAGCTGTTTTGGCAGAGAGTAGTTCTTTACCAGTCAGCTCAGTTTGGGCTTTGGATAGTAGCATCCAAGTGGTCAACTGGTAGCATCAACTGGTAGCATCCTTGGGCAGGTGGGGCTTGCTTTTAGAGTCTGATTTTTGGTGAGGCCACTGCACTAGTTCTGAGGGCATATCATTGGCTGTGAACAGTTAGATAACTGTTCATTTGGTTTTCTGGCCAAATGTGTCTGTAGGGTGGGTTCTGTTGTTACCTGGATTCTCTAGTCAGGCTTCCTAGCAGGGCAGAGCTGGTACCATACTTAGCAGGAGGTGGAGCTGTGAATTAGCTTCACTGCCTGGGCAGGGCTGAAGAATGAGCCCCAAGGATGGTATAAGTCATTAATTGGGGACCTGAATCAGGCACAGCTGCGCACCAAGTCTCCTGGCCACATGGAGCCATTGCCTCTGCTCTACAGGCAGGCATAGCTACTGGCTGGGCTCTCTGCTCATGTGGCACTGCAGGTGGGGCTAGGAATGGGCTACATAGCTTTCCAGGTGCTGTGTCTAGGTTTTCTACATAGGCGGGGCTGAAGGCTGCATTCAGCAGTGGATAGGGCATTGAATTAGCTTCCCTGCCTAATCATGGCCACAGAACTGGTCCTATGACTGGCAAGTCTTCTTGTTATGGACCAAATCAGGCAAAGTTGTGTACCAACCTTCCTGGCCCTATGGGGTCAGTGGCTTGGCTCTGCAGATGGGCAGAGCCATGGGCCAGGCTCTCCAATCAAGTGCTGCTGAACTATGCAGCTTCCGGGGTGCTCTGACCAGGTTTCCTGCTAGGACAGGGCTTGGGGGTGGCACTCAGCATTGCAGGGCTATGCATTAATTTCCCTGCCCAGGCACAGTGGCATAACAGGCTTCAAGGCTGGCAGTGCTCATTTATTGGGGTCCCCAATCAGACAAAACTGTGCAGATGGGGCCACTGGATCAACTCTGTAGACGGTCAGAGCCACAGGCTGGGCCCTTTGCTCAAGTACTGCTGGGCTATGCAGCTTCCCAGATGCTCCAGCCAGGGTTTCTGTCTGGGCGAGGTCAGAGAATACACTGTAGGTGGGGCTATGAATTAGCAGTAGGTGGGGCTATGAATTAGCTTCCTTGTCTGAAAAGAGTGTTTTGGGGGGCCCATAGCTTTGTGTGTTATGTTCAGATGTGCAAATTATGACCTGCTGAATGAAGAGGCACAATCCACTCACATGGGGTTGGCGGGTAGCTCGCTCAGCATCTAAGCTCCCACTTTAGAGAAGTGAAAACCCTAGAGCCATGTCGATTGAAGGCACAGTTTCAGTACACATACAAAGGAAATAACGTGACAATAGTTTTTACTTACGGATTCCAGAAATGAGAAGTGGGGTATGACGAGCCAGGGGTAGTCGTCTGTCCCAGGTCATGAGTGAGAGCAGACAGGGAATCTTCCGACCCAGACAGTGAAGAGTTTCCTCTTTTCCAGTGCTCGGTGGAGGGAAAGGAATGGCCTGCCTGAGAATTGTCATGCTATCCTTTCATCGAGTCAGCAACACATTCTCTTGTCTCTTCTCTGATTTTAGGAGCACCAAGCTAATGACTGGGAGAGGAAATATTACAGATGTCACCTATTTCATCCTCTTGGGGTTCTCAGATTTCCCCAGAATCTTAACAGCTCTGTTCGTTGTCTTCTTGTTTACCTACATTACAACTGTGACTTGGAATCTGAGCCTCATTATCTTAATAAAGATGGATTCCCACCTCCACACACCCATGTACTTCTTCCTCAGTAACCTATCCTTCATAGATATCTGCTATGCGACCTCCACAGCCCCAAAGATGCTCTCCAAATTCTTCCAAGAGAAGCAAATGATCACCTTTGTGGGTTGCGCTGTTCAGTACTTCATCTTTTCAACCATGGGACTGAGTGAGTCTTGTCTCATGACAGCCATGGCTTATGACCGATATGCTGCCATCTGTAATCCACTTCTCTATTCATCAATCATGTCACCCGCCCTCTGTGTGCGAATGCTGCTGGGGTCCTATATGGCTGGTCTCTCTGCTTCTTTATCTCAATTGTGTGTCATCCTTCAGCTCCACTTCTGCGGGCCTAATACCATCAACCACTTCTTCTGTGACCTGCCCCAACTCTTAGCCCTGTCTTGCGCTGACACTTTCTTTGTACATATCATGACTGCTATATTAACACTGATCTTTGGGATAGTAAATGCCTTTGTGATCATGATATCTTATGTCTATATTGTCATCTCCATCATGAAGATCACGTCAGCTAAAGGCAGGTCCAAGGCTTTCAACACCTGTGCTTCTCACCTGACAGCAGTTAGCCTCTTCTATACCTCAGGCATATTTGTCTATTTGACGTCCAGCTCTGGCGGTTCCTCCAGCTTCGACAGATTTGCATCGGTCTTCTACACTGTGTTGATTCCCATGTTGAATCCCTTGATTTACAGTCTGAGGAATAAGGAAATCAAAGGTGCCTTGAACAGGTTGCGAAAACACAAGGGGTGTTGCTGAGGTTAAGGATTCTGAGATTTTTGACAGATTTGTCTTTGTCAGAATATCACCTTAACCCACAATATTATGCACATGAATGGATTATAACAAAATTCATAATCCTTTCAGACAGAGAATATAAATTTTGACACAGATAATATGACAAAATGGAGCAAAGCTTACTCAATGCCACACAAACACAGTACCTTTAAGTCCTAGGGGTTCATTACTTTCACCCTACGTGAAGAATGGCCTTGTCACTTGTTAATCTACCTGAAAATATTTGTGAAACACCAAGGTTTAGAAACTCGGCATTTTTTTATTTGACACTGAGATTGAGTCCTGTTTCATCTCAGACCTCTGACCCTAAAGGAGAGATATCTGACAGAGGCACCCGGAGGATAGGAACTTTGTCTCCAAAATATTCTGATGAAGAATAATCCAGACATGGTGGTGACAATGTTTGTTCTGTGTTTCTGACCAGGGTGAGAAGGGATGGAGAGAGGGGACATGCTTTTGTAGAGAAACAAATCTATACAACTTTCTTGGTTGTGCATCTTGGGAGGACGGGTCTGAGATAGTTAATGTTTTTCTAAGGCCTCTCTTAGGGACTAATCATCTAATACCTGTCTGGTCACATCCTAGTCTCCACCAGCTAAGTCTAAGTCTAAGAAGGAGGAGGTGATTTGAGTCTTAAAGAAGAATGGAAGGAAGTGTGTAGCCCCTTTAGTGCCATTTACTTATGAGTCTGATGGTGTAATTTCTTATATCTAGTGTCCAGTGGGATTTCTGATGGGAGATAATGTTCAAAATCCATGTCACAGCCAATAGCAATTTCCGATATTATGAGACTCAAATATCTTTTTCTCTCCTCCCATTAAATCTGGAAAATTAACCCTTGCTTTTTATAGCCAGTGGGATTACACTACCAAGTCATTTCTGACACTTGAATCATGCGTCCAAGTTGGGCGTGAGGAGGCTTGTGTGAAAATTCATTGTAATAATAGAGTTACTGAATACGCAATATTGCAGAGACTAAGAACAAACATGGAAAGCTGATAACACATTCTTTCCTATTTTCTGTGCTCAGCATTTTATTTCCTAGAGATTTCTGGTTGTACAGGGTGATATGAAGGATGGAGAAGTAAGATGGTTATGGTTACTTTAATGCTGATATTTCACAGGAGACCTCAAGGGCCAGGATAGTAATAGATAGCGAGATAGGCAGGGTTCTCAACTCTGGCTAGTTATCACTGTCCAAAGGAGGAAATAAAGCTTGTGGCCTTAATGGTCTGGTTAAAAAGAGGAACAAGATGTGTAACAACTTGTTGATTTGACAGATCGTCCAGACTCAAACAAACTGATATAAACAAGACATCATGACCTTTACATATCATCCTTGGAGATTCATTGGTTTCTTAAGGAATGTTTTTGGGGTTTCGATGAATTATTTTATTCAGTTAAGGACTATAAGTAAAACGGTATATGAAGCCTTTGCCAAATCTTCCACGAGTTTACACATGAACGGGATTGAGAGAGGGGATTGTCGAACCACTGGGAGAGAACATATGGAATTACCCTATGCCAAGGAAACTGTCCTATGAATAGAGCGTGTTTACTCCCCCACCGCATAGCCACGCATAGGGCATGTTCTTTGAAGCACTGCTCTTTAAAATGTGCAAAAATGTGCAAAAATGAGATGCCTGTTCCTCAGGGGCCACGAGGGATTCCTCAGGATAGAGAACTCTGTTAGGTGTTAGATGTTAGGTGTTAGTGGAGGATATTTCCATAATATTGTACAGATGAACCTCTCAATGGGTTCAGATGAGCTCACGGAGGTGATAAATAGGAGCTGCTGATGGCGATTGGAAGTTGATATTCTGGGAGCAGCTGTGGGTGGGCGAGGTTCCTGAGAACTGCTGTCTTCCAAGAACTCCCTCCATGAGATATTGTTGAGAATGATCAGCTAGAGATACCGATGGTAAAATGCCATTAAAGTATTATTTTAAAGAAAAAAAAAAACGGAGAAAACAAAATGTGGTTGCCCATGAAGAACATTTAGACCAATGGTACATTCCAGATCCTACTCTTAGATGAACCACGTATTCTAAACTAGGTCGGTCTCTGGAACAAACAAGATAGTTCAGCTTGCCCACAGTAATTGCACAGAGATTTGGCCATGGAATATCACAGGTGTACAGACTTCACTAAGTGTTTTTAGACAAATACATCGAGGTAGGTGGCAAGGATGAAAAGAGAAATAAGAAAAGTTTCCTGTTCTCATGTCTAGTTAGGAGACAGACTCATATATAAAATAATAAATTTTACATTTTAAGTGTAGTTCAGGGCAAGACGATTAAAACAGACCCACAGAAATGCAAATCAAAACCACAACGAGATCCCATCTCATACCTGTTAGAATGGCCATCATCAATAGGACAAATAATAACAAGTGTTGGAGAGGATGTAGCGAGAAAGGAACCCATATACACTACTGTTGGGACTGCAAATTGGTACAAACAGTATGGAAAACAGTGTGGAGGTGTCTCAAAAACCGAAGAATTGATCTACCTTATGATCCAGCAATCTCTCTACTGGGTATTTACCCAAAGACTTGGAAACATTTATCATCAGATATATTTGCTCACCGATGTTCATAGCAGCATCATTCATGGTAGCCAGAACACGGAAGCAACCGAAGTGTCCTACAATAGATGTTTGAATAAAGAAGATGTGGTACATGTATATAGTGGAATATTACTCAGCCATAAGAAGAGATGTAATACTGCCAATTGCGACAACATGGCTGGATCTCGAGATAATCATGCTAAGTGAAATAAGCGAGACGGAAAAAGTTGAAAACCACATGATATATGTATGATATAAATCTAAAAGCAACCCAAAAAAACCCATGAAAAACAGAGACTCATGGACATAGACAATAGAATAGTGGTTACCAAAGGGTGGGAGTGGGGAGGTAGATGGGGTAAAGTGGATAAAATATGTGGTGACAGAAATAAATCTAACTATGGATGGTGAACACACAGTGCAATATATAGGTGACTTACTGTTGAACTGTACACTTGAAACTTATTGGATTTTGTTAATGTCACCATAATAAATTAAAAAAAAAAAAAAACAGACCCACAGACTAAGAGAGGTGAAAAGACTAAGAACTCACATGAATTATCAGGGCCTCAGTGGAAGGTCCACACAGAGGCGGAGCTTGACCTCACTCTGCAGGATTTGTTTGACGGAAGAGAAGAGCAGTCCCAGGGGCAGGGCAGGTGGCCAAGAGGAGTGAGCTGAATGTGCAGAGGGGTGTCATTGGGAGCCGTGGGCCATAGTGGTGAAAAGTTATGCGTGAATTTTAGCTTCAAGACTTGGAATTTTACTTTGTATTTAGCCAAGAGTCAAAGAGCTTGAATCATTAAGGTCCTAGGGGCTGATAGTTTCTGCTCATTTTCATAACTGACCTCTCGGTCCCAATAATCTTCCTGAAACATTTTTAACAATCTTTCTAAGGGAATAAATGCTTTTGTCTTTTTCAAATAGTTTCGATGATGTTTTTTTTAAAAATTCATACTGTACAAAGTAAAGACCAAACACGTTATTCAGATAATTATAGAAAGACTATTTAGAACAAGAGATCAGTTATGAGAATGAGTGGAAATCTGAACCCCAAGAAGCTATGGAGTCATTTGGTTTTGAAACCTCACATGCTCACAGACACCGATAACATCTTAATAATAATGACAATCAGAGCACCGGAAGAGGGCAGGACTCATGTGAGACATGTATATGGTTCACTTAATGGATCCCAAGTGTCCAGACTTTTAGATCTCCATCAGATGTGCAGCTGAGTCTGTGCACAAGATGAGAATTTCGTTTCTAGCCCTCTGGGGAGTGAATGGTTAAAGTTGTGCTTCCTGATGCACAACCTAGGGGAACCACTTTGGAAGGTATTTAATTGATGCTGTAGGATCAGAGTTAAGAAAATACGTTACATTAATATCACTTGAAATTTATTTACTTTATTAAAATTATTTTTATTGAGATATAATTGACATATAACATCGTGTAAGTTTAAGGTGTACCACATGTCGATTAAATACATTTACATGTTGCAGTACAATTACCACTGTAACATTAGCTAACAACTCTATCACCATAGAATTATCATTTCTATTTTGTAGTGGAAACATTTAAGATCTGAACTTTTAGCAACTCTGAAGTATATAATACAGAATTGTTGACTATCAGCACCGTGCTGTGCATTAGAGCTCTGGAAATTATTCATCTTTTAACAGCAAGTTTGTGCCCTTTGCAAACATCTCCCCGATTTCCCTGTTCCCTGGCCCTGGTAACCACCATTCTACTCTCCCTTTCTATGAGTTTGGTGCTTTTAAATTTCAGATATTAGAGATGTCATACAGTGTTTGTCTTTCCCTTCATAGCTTATCTCACTTAGCTTCAAGCCTCAAGTCCCATCCATGTAGTTGCAAATGGCAAAATTTCCTTCTTTCACATAGCCAGATAGTATTTCCCTCTTGGATATTCCTGGCTCCCTGGTCAAACATTAGTTGACCATATATGCAAGGTTTATTTCTGGGCTCTTTATTCTGTTCCATTGGTCTATGTGTCTATTTTTATGTTACCACTGTCCTGTTTTAATTACTGCAGCTGTAGAATATAGCTTGAAATCAGGAAGTATGATGCCTACAGCTTTGTTCTTTCTCAGTAATACTTTGGCTCTTCAAGATCATTTGTGGTTTTGTACAAGTTTTAGGTCTGTTTTTCTATCTCTGTGAAAAACACTGTTGGAATGATGATAGGGATTGCATTGAATCTATCAATGGCTTTGGTTAGTATGAATATTTTAACAATCTTAATTCTTCTGATCTATGAACGAAGATTATCTTGGGTCTTCTTCAGTCTCTTTTATTAATGTCTTGTAATTTGCAAGCATATTTGGTTAAATTTATTCCCAAGTATGTTATTGTTTTTAATGCTACTGTGAA